TGGCGGAGGTTGGGGATGTTGGACATGGTTGGACATCAACATTGAGATTTGGGATGATTGGGATGCAACAATGCAACCTATACGTTCACCACCACCACCACCACGACGACGCCGGCGGCGATGACTACTACTACTACTACTACTAGTACTACTACTACTACTACTTCTACTTCTACTTCTACTTCTACTGCTACATCATCTACTACTACTACTGCTACTACTACTGCTGCTGCTGCTACTGCTGCTGCTACTACTACTGCTACTGCTACTGCTACTGCTACTGCTGGTGCTGCTGCTGCAAATGCTACTGCTACTGCCACTACTACATTTGGCACTGTACTAAGCACTAGGTGCTAGATTTGAACTGCTCAAGCCCTTCTACTCTAAATCATACTTGATGGTCCTTGAATGTGCACAAAGTCTGCAGCTCCAGGCAAGGCACAAGCGCATCAGCACCACCACTTCTGGCCACAACGCAGCGTTAATGGCATGTCAACAGAAATGGCTCGCGGCGCTGGACCTCCTAAGCCGGATGAAAGGCCAGAGCAGTGCATTCGGTGCGGGGCAGGTGTGTGATGACTCGGGACCAGAGATTTGTGGAGTAGTATCCGATGAAACTACACCTGCATCTGGATGTCGGAGTAGCATAGCTTTCACCTGTGGATGTCAGTTTCACTTGTGCAAATCCCGCTCACTTGGCTTCTTGTGTCAGGTGTGCGATCTGATGATATCACTTTTGCAGCGGCAGCTGTTTCATGTCAAGAGGCGCTGGCATCCATGACATCGAATGGGCATGTTTTCACGAAGCACAACATGTTGAAATATGGCAACACGTGGCTTTTCGGTCATTACTGTAGAAACTCTTCCCTTCCGCCGGTTTCTTTTTTCAATCGCCGCATACACCCAAACGCTGCCAGGCAAGCCAATGGCAAGAAGTTGTGGCCTTGCGGTTGAGGTCTTGGGCTGGAGGTCTGGATCGATCGGCTACCTTGGGGGACAGAATCAGTGAATCATGGATCTAATGGCAGAAAGTGTGCTTGCAGAGAAGATTGTCATAGATTGATCTACTGCACTTCTATGTGCTACATGACAATGTTCCTCTCATGGAGTTGTACTGGACAAGGTCAAGCAAGGTGAAGCACCAATGCTCGATTCACAAGGTGCGGAGATGGGTTTGCTACTGCAAAATGCTGCGCATAGTGCTTGGCGGCAAGCACGACGGTGGCAGAGCTCAGTGCAGATCCTGGGCCTGTGTGTGTAGAGGGCGTTGCTATTTTTATGTGTATGTTTGGTTGTTAGGAACGTAGGGTGAGTGATGGTGAGTGTAGTGATGTGTAGTGGCATAGGTGTGCTCGAAACTAGTGAACGAGCTGACTATTCCCCGAGTTGCGTTGTTTGAGCAGTAGCAGGGAGCAGCATTTCAGCCACTGATTTGCTTGCCATGTTGAAGGGGTCAACACAAACAAGTGCTGGTGCTTTGCACACAAAGCTGCATCATTGGTCGTTCCCGCTTGTTGATGCAGTAGGTGTCCATCAATCAATTCAATACGCAACAGATCACGTTGCCTACTAATCATTATATAAGATGCTAGACTGGTGGACTACATCAATTGCACCCTTGTGCCTAAAGCCATGGGCCATGCCCAAAATCTGCGCCGTTTAGAAGATACAGGTGATGGAACAGTTAGTTGATTAGGGTGGAGGGCATTGCTAAATTGTTCTGCTTTTCTGCCATTGGTGACGATAAAATTTTTTCTTCACTGGTCAAAGTCAGCGACAAGGCTGCTTCAAGAGATGCAGGACTGGGTGAAGCCTCGAACCATTGACTGCGACAGTTCATTTGCATCCTTGTCAAGGTGACACCTAACCGGTTAGAGTCTACTCTTTGCCCTTGAGGATTAAACTCCGTTTCAGAAACTATGCACGTTTCAGCAACCATGCACGTGTTTCACGCTTCTGAAACTACATGCCTGTCAAACACCACAATAGCTTCTAATGCAACAGCATGTGACTTTGTGTAGACACTTGCCGGGGTTGGAGCGTTCTTTGTGATTGCGGCAGTATCTAACTCTGTGTCCATAGACGCTTGCTGGCTTGGAGGCGGTTCTGAAGACAACAAGAAGTTTTCGAAACATGGTTCCAGAAACACATATACACCGGTATTCTTGATTCAAAACATGTCCAACACATTCCAAACGCTTTCCAACAATGTAGGCTGTTTCCGAACCATAGTTTCAGAACCATGGTTTCAGAAACTTTTATCTACCGCCATTGAGCTTCACTCCCCATGGCTGGAGAAGTGAGCTGAAAGACTCCAGCTCCTGCCTGCAGGAGGAGAACCTACTACCTGATATGGTGAGCTTTGCTGAAACAGTCGAGGTAGGGCCCGAAGTGATGGTGTTCCTCTCATGTGGGATCGAGCAGCGCTAGAGGCACTAGAGAGAAAGAGAGAGAGAGAGAGAGTCAAGATACTGGACCAATTGGTTCCATTGGTTGCACATGTTCATTTCCATTGCCAGACCTGCGAGATGGGTGGACAGCCGGGCCCAGCGGCCATCATTCTGAATCTTTGCAATTCTCGGGCTTGGCTGTGCCTTGGTGAAACAAGGATGGGATGATTTGAAGGCGCCATGGGATGGTGAATATCCCCACCACCGGGGATTATTCATGGGGTCTTGCAAAACTAATAGGCGGACGGGCGCCGTCGGGTCACCGTCAGAGCTGGTGGGCGGATGGTGTCCCGGTCATATTTTGATGGCGTCCGGGTCATGTGATGCCGGTGTCCCGGTCATGTTTTGATGGTGTCCCGATCATGTTTTGATTGTGACCCAGTCATGTTGTGATGGTGTCCCGGTCCTGTTTTGATGGTGTCCCGGTCATGTTTTGATGGTGTCCCGGTCATGTTGTGATGGTGTCCCGGTCATGTTTTGAAGGTGTCCCGGTCATGTTGTGATGGTGTCCCGGTCATGTTGTGATGGTGTCCCGGGCATGTTTTGATGGTGTCCCGGTCGTGTTGTGACGGTGTCCCGGTCATGTTTTGATGGTGTCCCGATCATGTGATGGTGGCGCGGTCATGTTGTGATGGTGTCCCGATCATGTTTTGATTGTGTCCCAGTCATGTTGTGATGGTGTCCCGGTCCTGTTTTGATGCTGTCCCGGTCATGTTTTGATGGTGTCCCGGTCATGTTGTGATGGTGTCCCGGTCATGTTTTGATGGTGTCCCGGTCGTGTTGTGACGGTGTCCCGGTCATTTTTTGATGGTGTCCCGGTCCTGTTGTGATGGTGTCCTGGTCATGTCTTGGCGGTGTGCCGGTTATGTTTTGATGGTGTCCGGGTCATGTGACGGTGTCCCGGTCATGGAGTCATGTTGTGATGGTGTCCTGGTCATCTTGTGATGGTTTTCCCGTCATGTCATGTTGGTGTCCCGGTCACCTTGTGATGGTGTCCCGGTCATGTTGTGATTGTGTCCCAGTCATGTTGTGACGGTGTCCCAGTCATGTTGTGATGGTGTCTCGCTCATGTTGTGACGGTGTCCCGGTCATGTTTTGATGGTGTCCCGGTCATGTTGTGATGGTGTCCTGGTCATGTTTTGGCGGTGTGCCGGTTATGTTTTGATGGTGCCGGGTCATGTGACGGTGTCCCGGTCATGTTGTGATAGTGTCCCGGTCATGTTGTGATGGTGTCCCCGTCATGTCATGCTGGTGTCCCGGTCACCTTGTCATGGTGTCCCGGTTATGTTGTGATGGTGTCCCAATCATGTTGTGACGGTGTCTCGGTCATGTTTTGATGGTGCCCTGGTCATGTTGTGATAGTGTCCCGGTCATGTTGTGATGGTGTCCCCGTCATGTCATGCTGGTGTCCCGTGCTGGGCTAATTTGATTGTGTCCCAGTCACGTTGTGATTGTGTCCTGGTCATGTGATGCTGGTGTCCCGGTCGTGTTGTGATGGTGTCCCGGTCATGTTATGACGGTGTCCCAGTCATGTTTTGATGGTGTCCTGGTCATGTTTTGATGGTGCGCCGGTCATGTTTTCATTGCAGCCCAGTCATGTTGTGATGGTGTCTCGGTCACGTTGTGATGGTGTCCCGGTCATGTTTTGATGGTGTCCCGGTTATGTTTTGATGGTGTCTCGGTCATGTTGTGACGGTGTCCCGGTCATGTTGTAACATTTGTAACTGTGTCCCGGTCGTGTTGTGATGGTGCCCCGATCCTGTCTTGATGGTGTCCCAGTCATGTTTTGATGGTGCCCCGGTCATGTTGTGATGTTGTCGCAGTTATGTGATGATGGTGTCCAAGGAAGAGATGGTCGATGCGTTGAAAACAGCAGCTGTTTCCAGATTTTGTTTTTTGTCCATGTGTGTATCTTGCTATTGTGGCCTCCAGCTGGGCTAATTCAGTTTGATTTTTGGGTGGAAGTCGGAGAAATTGAGCAGTCTTGTTGGATCTTGTTGGCACCTCTAGCTGCAGCAGCTGGACATGCAAGTAGAGCATTTTCAATGAACTCAACAGCCAGATTGGCATTGATCATATTATGTGGGCGGCCCCCGCCTTCCAACCCCCTTTGTACGACCTGAAGAGGCATTTTGCCTCTCCTCGTGTCCGCGAATTCTCGTACACTAGCAGGCCATGAGAAGGGCTGATCGCCACATTCTTGTGGAGATGACGGAGGTGACCAGAAAGGAGAACCACGCGCCCATGGTCCACACAAAGGGATTTCAGTGGATCAGACCAATCAGATCTGATGAGCTTGAACGCTGGTGGTTGCCATTTGGACGTCTTCTCAGATGGTTTCCAAGGAAGCCTCGAGTGACACATCAGCAAAGGTTTCTTCGCAAGCGGGTGCGAAAAGTTCTTGCAGATGCCTGCAAGCCACAACAGCAACGAAGGTGATTCCATACGCTGAACCAGCTTTGAATTCCGGTTCTTGGACGGGAGCTGACATGTTCCAGTCAGATCATGAGTCAGGAAGTTTTTGTCATTAATCGCTGGTTCCGCGTCCAGGCACCTCCAGCGGTGTGTGAACTTGGAGCCTGGCTCTCTGATATCCAGAAAGCGCTTGAAGAACATTCGCACGAAAGTTCTTTATATAATTTTAATAACTATGTAACTATGTACATAAATATAAATACAAATCTAGAGCTGGACATGGGCTTGCAAAACAAGGGATGGCAAGAGAGTGGGCTCTAAATGGCTTTCATAAATAGACAAACAACCCACCAAATATATATAACTAAAAATACGATTGTATGTTATAACTAAACGTTTGTTTTGAAACATATGTATATGTATATGATTGTACATGTAGGTCATAACCATAAAGGTCTTGCCACTCAGGGGCCTTCTGAGCCATTCTTTGCAGTGGTTCGTTGATTGAATAAACGCCATGCGCAAGGCAAACTGGAATTCAGCGACCAAGCCGAACCTTGCAGAAGCCTAACACGTTCTGTTAGTATGTCTTTATATATATATACACAGATTGTGCAGAGCCTTCCACAGTTGTTGAGTAAATGAATGTTGATCAACACCGAAGATCGGCATATGCGTCTCATAGCTTCTGATTCTGACTACGACTCTAGACTTGAACAGGGCAAACGCCGCAAAAGACCAGAAAGACACCTCTGAGCCGCTTGCATCTCATGTCCCGCACCGGCCATGGCTATGCTGGAACGACCAATGGTGTTACGACGGATGCCGGGTTGGGGAAGAAGTTCTCTGAGGCCATTTCTGCGAATGCTCGCGAAAAGCAGCCGCCTTCCCAAGCTTTGGTAGAGGACGGAACTTAGGAACAATTACGACTGCAGTCAGCTCATCAGATTCATCAGCATTAGACTAGACTCTAGACATGCAAAACGTGTGCATGCCTTGAAATATTCCATGCAGCTCATCCACGTGCATTGATTTCCTCTTCATTTTGAGGATCCAATGAAGGCTCTTGACAGGTCCCTAATGGTACCTATAAATTTGGACGCTTCTCCCAGGATGGCCGGAGATTGCTCGAAGCTTTAATGGAGGCCTACATGGACGCAGAGTTCCAACGTGAAGTCTGCCGCTTGCGAGAGGAGATCCACGATGAGCTCCGCTTCCTCACGACATTGGGCCCTCTGGCAGCGAGAGCGCAGGAACCAGTCTTCCAATGCTTTGGTCGCTCGGACAAGATCTGATGAACAAATCCTTGGTAATTACCTACTTCAATGTCGTGTGCCATTGGCCGGCCCCACTTGCCTGTCCGTCTTCAGTTGCTTTAGTGTTGGTCCGGTTAGAGGCCATGAATTAGAAGCTGGGCAAAGAGTTGTTAGATAGATAGATAGATAGATAGATATAGATAGATAGATAGATAGATAGATAGAGAGATAGAGAGATAGACAGATAGATAGACAGATAGACAGATAAACTGATAGACAGATAGATAGGTCATACTATATCTCTATATGTATAGCAACTCGATGTATATGTTATTGTTGAAATTAGACACACAGAGGGAGAGAGACAGACGGACGGACGGACGGACAGACAGAGAGACACACAGACAGAGAGAGAGAGGGAGAGAGAGAGAGTGCTCTCCTGGATCTGAGGCCTTCCGCCTGGGCAACGTGGGGTGATATTGATGAAGATGGGTGTGCGTTTGCTTTCCACCGTGTCGCCGGACATCAAGGAATTGGCTGGCGACCTGAGAGAGTTGCTGTGCTTGCCGCGTGAGGAGGAGGACATCACCAGCACCATTAAGAAGCTCGTACGTACTGTGAATCGGCTTTGTGACAATGTCAGACTGTAAGGCTTTGCTTGTCTGTTGTCGTGAGCCTCACAAGGTGTTTAAGACTCGAGGCAGACCAGGCCTGCACGAAAACGGACGCACAAAGGGAGGCACAGAAACTCAAAGCTTTAAATCGTAGTTGTTCGCCAATGAAGGAAGGCGGAATCCGAGTTCCAAGATCTGCAGCAGAAGATCGCTGCTGCGCCTCTAGAGCTCCGAGGGCCCTTAGCGGAAGCCTTTCTCTTGCCCTACAATGCCAGCCCAGTGGAGATCGCCCAGGCAGTGCCTCGTTTGCCCAAGCGTGCCAAAGAGATTGCAGATCACCACATGGCGAGAGGTCGTCAGGAGAGCCGGGACGTCACGTCCTTCGTGAAAAGAACATACTTGGAGGGGCCCTTACCTTCTTTGTTTATTTTTTATTTTTCAATTCAATGCATATGTTTTTTTTTAAAGTTGACCATGGGAGATCTTGCGTTCACTTTGGTATGCTTTGATTTTTCAGGATACCCTGACCACTGACAAGGACATCATCGGAGAAGGGAAGCTCTTGGGATCTGACATGGCACATGCCAGCGACGAAACTTTGCAGGCCAAAGTGCAAGACATGTTTGAGCGCTATTTGCAGAAGATGCTGAGTCGCGTGATCACCCCCCTCGACTCCTACACACGGGCTCCTGAAGATTTTGCGTGCTCATGGGCGCGAGATTTGGTGTCAAAGCAGACCATCCAAGACCTATGGGGAAGCCAGACCTGTCAGACAGCCACTCTTCCCGTCCGGGATGTTGTGGAAGATTTGTCTTCCCAGCTGGGCTTCAGCCACGGGGTGGCCATTCTCAACGACACCGTCAGTGTCAAGGTGACTCGCCAAGCCCGCGAGGAATTGGCGGCACTGGAGACTGCTGGCGCAGTGACCCCCTCACAGGATCCGTGCCACATGGACAAAAACGTGTCGATGAATGGGGTTAGGACATGTTAGGACGCTGGTGGAGGAATTGGTGGAGGATATGGAAGATTACAATGAAGCACTGCATAGTAATTACTGCTATCAGAATCTATGTAGATAGTGCAACAACTCCACTTTGGAGTGGAGCTACCTTTGACCCAGGGCCCAGTGGTGTCTTTTGCTCAGACTCAAGGTGCAGCTCTTGCTCTAGGCTTGCATCCGATGCCGCCCGCTCGCTTGCATCAGGTAATGTTGGAGCGCGTTCAGTTTGGCTGCACTTCGAAACTGCGGAGGAGCGGGAGAAATCTCCGCCAGCCCTGCGAGAGCTATGCGAGCATTTGCTAGGAGCGGCTTGCGGAGCGGCCTGCGGTTTGTGAGCTTGAGCAATTTAAGATTTTGATAGAGTTTTAATAAGTGAAAGTGACGAATTTTGGTAGCGAGTTTTTTTTCTGTGTTTTAACAGGGAAGGATGAGAAGAAAAAGCGGGATGAGAAGCAGAAGGAGGACGAAAAATGATGAGAATGATGGATGAGTGGACCGGAAGATATTGGATACTGACCAAAATGAACGTAAATTGATAAGCAATTATATATATATAGATATATTTATAATAGTAAACAATTTATATGACAATTTTATAGTTATTCTTCTGGGGCAGCTGGGCTTGATTAACATGGTGGGGTTCTGGCCAGGAAAAACTTATTAGGGGGATGTCAAGGTGGAAATTCAGGTCTTAAATTAGTTTAGTCTTGGGGGCTCGAGCTGGGATTGATTAATAGGGGGTTCATTAATCCTATGTTGACGTTACCGGATCTATGAACTTGTGCTACACGTGATGCCTTTGGAGCAACAAGGGAAAACTAGGGGCAAAGTGCACTACATATTACGTGATGCGAACATTTTCATAGTTTATAGTTGTGTTTGTGAGGCGTTTAAAGTTTAGCCTATTTGTAGGACTCCCTCATGCCCTACTTGCTGCAGCTGAATCCAATTCTGTAGTGGCTCCACGCTTGCGTGTTCACCCGCACATCATGGCAGCAACTTACCGCCGTGGCGCAGAATATCATTGCCACAAAGATAGCTACAGCGGTACCGACAACTCAAGAAGCTCGTTAGATTTCATGAAGTCCATCAGTTTGTTTCGCCTCCAACCAAATATTTAATAGCGATGGCCTCCAACCTAATAGCGAAGTCCATCAGTCTGATTCAGTTTGATCGTATCTCTTTCGGGGAGTTGCTGTAATGCCTTTCGAGATCTTTCCTTGCCCAATTGAGGCCCCTTCGTCCCCCGTCAGCTGTTTCTGGAAGTGGCCTTAAGGAATGGTCACCATTTTGCTGTACCTCAACGACTGGCAGCCTGGGGATGGTGGCGAGCTACGACTCTTTGGCACTAAGCAGGTGGATGCTGACGTAGGAACTGGTCCAGGACTCCGGGATGCAGCATCAGCTCCAGACTTGGAGCGCTTTGTGGACGTGGCGCCCTTGAGCGGCCGGGTCGTGACTGGAGGTAGAAGATTGCAGACTTTACTGTGGCCCCAACTGGCTTTGCAGGTTTGTGCACGTTTGAACCAACACGGTTTCATCCGCTTCACCTCAGGTGATGTTTCGGTCAAGGGAGATCTGGCATGCTGTCCGCGAGCCACGGGAGCAGCGCTGGGCCATGACCTTGTGGGTGATGGCAGACTAAAAGGGCGGTGCAATCTGTGCGGCTCCGAGAGGTGTTGTGAGGTCTATACAGGTGTTTTTTTTTTCCCGGGGGTGTCGGGCACAACGACATGTGCAGCACTCACACGAAGCAATCATCTCCGGACTATTCCGGACTGGTTTGGGCTTGGGCCGTGGGCCAAGCACATTGTCCCATATCAAGGATGGGTATGGAAGCCAAATGGTGCTTTAGAACTTTAGAATCAAGTTCCGTCCATAGCCGTTCTCCGTGGTGCATGGGGCATGCTAGAATTGAGACGATTGGCCTCTTGGCCCGGTAATTGCCGGTACAAGCTGAGGCCATTGCAGTTTGGAGCTCAGGTTGGAGGCCATCGCAAGTAGGGCAGAGGCCATCGCCATTAGAGAGACTTTGTGTGCCGTACTCGCATCCCACTGAAGAGTCTCAAACATTTGGCGGTGAATACATAGACTTCAGAGGGAGGTTCTGGATGTTGCAGCTTAGACATTTGAGGTGCTTCTGCTGGGGGCAGGGCGGGCAGCGCTGGGATTGCTTCGTGGGTGCGCTGAGAGACAGTGAGGATCAGTGAGGGGGAGAGTGTGGCAGAGAGAGGGAGAAAAGGATGTTAAGGTTAAGGGTATAAATGTATCTTGTATGGACATTTATAACTATATTATATGATCGTTTTTTCCACTCTTACTACAGTACCAGACCTGAAGCATCGGCGGACATTCCAATGCAGTTTTGGTGGGAGCAGCGATCAACCCTAATGTCAATACTTTTGGGCTCTTCACTTCACCTCATTTGCTTGCTGTTGTCTGCCAAACCTTGCTTTGCTTTCAAGGCTGTGATGGAAGCAAACTGCAGGGCTGGCTCAAGGCCCTCCTGGAGGCTTAATTCGGTCTCAAATACCAATATTGATACTATTTCTAGTGGTCGTTCCAGGCCCTGCCAGGAACAGTTTTGAGCTATGGTGAAGATGGTGGATGAGGAAGCGCCTGCGGCCAGCTACACATCCTGCCAAATGGGCGCCTTGATTTTCGTCACTGGGCTCAGCCTGTTCAACTTCAGCTACACCGCTTCCAACATTGGAGGTGTGCTCTTATACATTGACCGCGCACATACAGACTGCTCCAAAGACGCCATTTGCCTCGACAGCTCTTTGATGAAGGGCATTTTAGTTTCCTCCTGCTTAGTTGGCGCATTCTCCGGTGCTTTGTTCGCTGGCACTTTGGCAGTTCGATACGGACCAAGGACAATTCTCCTGGCGAACAACTTCTTCTTCATTGTCGGGTCAATCAGCAGCGCGTTGGCACCAGGCATCCTGTGCCTGATCCTTGCCAGATGTGTTGTTGGCATTGGTGTCGGCATTGCTTCAGCCCTGGTCCACGTGTACATTGGAGAGGTTGTGCCAGCTGATCGGCGTGGTGAACATGGAGCTACACTGGTGATGATGGGCACAGGAGGGATTCTGGTGGCCAACCTGACCTGCTGGTTACTCTCTCACCATTGGCGCTGGGTCCTGGCACTTGGATGTGTGCCGGCCATGATTCAGCTTGTTTGGGGTTCAATGATCATGCCCGAGTCGAGTTCATGGAGTGCGCCACGTGCCAACTGTGGTCGTTTACGTGCCCTTGAAATGGTATGCCACCAGAATTCAGATGAAAGAGACCTCGAGAATCCAGAGGATAGTGAAAAAAGCGACGACACTTGCCTTCTTGAATCTGGTGCTGGTTGGTCGAACTTGTGGCAGTCGATTCTTACCGGGCAAGCAATCCCGCCTTTGATCATTGGCTGTGGTCTGCACGTGTTGGCACAGGCTTCTGGAATCAATGTAATCATCTACTATGGGCCAAAGATGTTTACGCTTGCAGGTCTTCCAAACTCCACGGCCGTTTTTGTGAGCGCGGGCATCAGCTTTGCACAAATGTGCTCAACCTTGCTGTTGTCACGCATGGTGGATCGGGTCGGACGAAAGCCAATGAGCTACATTGGACTTAGCTTCATGCTTCTGAGTCTATGTGGCATTGCTTGCAGCTACTGGCTGCCTCCAAGCCATTTGGCTGGTTGGCTTGCCCTGGTCTCATGTTTCTGCTTTCGGGTGGCCTTCTCCGTCTCTTTGGGGCCTTTGCCATACATCATCACGGCAGAGATCTTCCCGGAGTCCATTCGAACCCCAGGAGTCTCCTTCTGCCTCGCAGTGAAGTGGGTGGCAAACTTTGCCATCGCATTGAGCTGGTTACCCCTGTCTGAGGTGGGTGACGTTGATGTTCGATTCGGCGTCCAAAATGCTTGGACATGTCTCACAAAACTAATGTATTAGTTATTCGCTAAAGTTCAGTTTGCCCATACCATCATTACTACCATTACCTTACCAACACGCCCAATAGGAATCAATAGGCCCGTAGGTAAGTCGGTGACCGCGACGCGCTAAAAAGACTGCCGGGAGGTGTTCACCTTGGCTGGCACCTTTGTTCTTTACTTTGCCATGTGCGTGTTGAGCATTTTCTTCTTGGCCTTCTACGTCCCAGAGACCTCGGGCAAGACCTTGGGGCAGGCGTCCCAAGCGGTGTGGAAGAAGTTGCAGGATACGAGCGATATGAGCCCCTGAGGCCCTTCCCAGTCAAACTCAACAAACCTGTTTGCTGGAAGAGGTGTAGAGGCACCTTGGAAATCCGTAGAATTTATCAGCAACTGAAACCTGATGCTGTGCATGATGTCTCACCAAACTTCGGTGCAGCCTTTTCGAAACAAAAGGTTTCACTGATGCCAATGCTCCGAGAATACCCCGCCTCGGAACCAGGAATGGACATGAATTGACTGAACTGGACAGATGAGATCTGCTGGAAGTCTTCCAATAGACCTTAGGACCATTGTGCTTTGATCTTGCAATATCTTACACGCAGGTACATAGATCCGAACTTGAAATGAACGTCGATCCTTGTCTTCGCTCTTGAAGTTCCGTGTGGCACTGTGAGATAGTTCCTTTCGAATCCATTCGATGCCAATCCAGTAATACCCGTGGCTGACGTGGAATCGTTGGCACTTCTTCGCCGCCTGTCCCGCGACAGAAGGCACAGTCGTGAAATGATGTGAAAAGAGGTGTGTGCTGCACAGTACAACTAACGAGGTCCAAGCCCGCCTGTTGCCTGTTGCCCAAGCCAAAAGGAGAGTCCGCGCAGCTTCCATGACCTGTAATCTGAGGAGTCTGAGAACCAATATCTTTTTCTTTTGTCAAGTGCTTTGAGCTGTAGCCGCTCACAATCGGACTCTTTACCTTTAGCGTTGGTCTCATATCCGACACAGACAATGCTGCAGCCGTTGGCATCACCAGGTTAGACCAGAGTGGAAGCGATTTGCAAGAGCACAAGGCCATTGTTTTCCCGAATGCGTAGCGAAGGGTTCTCGTTTAACTCTGGGGGTCTGGGGGTAGAGCCTTGTTCGCGGCATTGTTTGCGATGCTTTTTGTCACGCATACGATTTGCAAAATGCATCGGCTGTTGCCCCGCCACCAGGTGATTAAGACCTACGCGGTGCGTGGGAGTGAGAAGAAAGGCACGGGGTCTCCTGGTTTCTGATGAGAAACAGCCTCACTCAACCATATTCAAAATATTTCAAACTTATGAACCGATGAACCACAAAGCTGTGACGAGGAGGTACCCAATCCAGGTGAGGTGAGAATCTCCTTGGTCAAGGATTGGTGTATCAGGATCATTCAAGATTTGTCAGGCAAAGCGTGGGGTGAAGCTGGGTTCTGGCCGTGACATGGCCCCATTCCAGCTTGTATATTTTCCACAGTCGTCAAACATGTCCAAAGAATTCGCAAGAATCCGCAAAGTGACAGGACTTTATTCTTTGCACGCCACTCCGGGACATTAATGCAGTCCGGAGACAGCTTTTAGAGTACAGTAAGAGCAGGGCTCTCGCCGCTCTTGCCGGTTTCCCACAGTATCTTCAAAATATAAATGTATAGGTCTCAGTCTCGTCCGAAGACCCGATGGGTGGGCCTCTTCTAGGTGGTGCCGAGGTCGACATCCGCAGTTTGACGTCCGTGGTCAGGCACTGGTCGCTTCCAACTCTTTGAGGACGCCAAGAAACGCGGCAGGGGCTGCAAGTCCGAAGGGGCCAAGTTGCGGCGACAGAATGCAGGGAAACTTGGCAAAGGAAAACAGAAAGAGGAGCTGTGAAACTTGTTGAAACTCTTCACTCCGAGGCTTGCCGGCTTGTTGATCTTGTTGTGCCTGATTGATTTTACTGAACAGCTTGCAGATGCTTTGGAGACGTGCGGGTCAACCTTTGTGCCAGCCTTTGTCGTGCTTTTGAGGCCATTCGATTCTTTGAAAAGATCAATGCCAAGTGAGGGGCTAAGTTAGCTGGCTTATAGTTTCTTCCATTGCTGCTCATGGCAGAGCCTTTCAGAAAAGTGGATAAGTGAGGAAGGTGGCGTCATGATGTCAATGACACAAGGATTCTCCAAGGAAGCTCCCCCCACCGGCTTGAAGAAGCCTGAGCCCTTCTGTGTCACGTCCACTAGTAGCCAGTAGCTACTTTCGTTACTGGTAGCTTACAGAGCTACTCGTGCGGCCTACCACCACCCCCGGGCTAAAACCATGTGCAATGCAGAACGTCACTGTCCAGATCCGCACAGACCTGTTGCCGGCAGTTGTGGTTGATGGGTTGACGTGCAGGTTTGCTGAATGGGGCCAGGCGCCAAGCTGCAAGTTGCAATAGCAGAGAGCAGCAGCCAAGCACAGTTCAAGAATGGATACACTCATGGCAAAAGGTAGCACTTACCATCTACGAGGAGGGAGTGGATGGCTAGCGGTGTCGCAGAGTGAATGGATGCAAGAATGGGGCCACTGATTCAATGTATCACAGTTTCCCCTATGCCCTATGCGGCCTATGCGAGCATGCTGACCGGAAAGCGGCACTGCGGAAAGCCCTCAACTCCAAGGATCTGAGTTGCAGCGCTTGAGGAAAGAAGAGCCTGAGCTGAGCCAGGCGCCACCACAACCTGAGAGATGTCTACCTTTCAATGATCCGAATTTCCGATTTCCCATTGCACCGTTTTGGTGCTAGCAGAACGCATTGGGGCGTGGTTGATTGGGTGATTGCAGGGGATTAGTGAATTGTGAAATCCTATCGCAGCCAGTGCTGAGTTGCTGGGAGTTCTGTCGCCGATCATTCAGGGTTTGTGCCGAGCCTGGCCGCCCAGTGTCGCTGGGAGCCTCAGTCAGCGAGAATGGATCCTTATGGCATGCCAAATTGCACGTAAGCGTGCACATAGCGAAACATGGCTGTGGCGTGAAACTGTAGCCGTCCCATCTTTGCTGCAACCTTACAAAAGGGTACTGTAAAACTGTATACTGTATGTTTTCTGATTTCATAAACAAGTGCCTTACTAGTAGTAACAAGAAGCTATTAGAAACAAGTGCCACTCTACTAGTAACAAGTGCATCGCTAGTAACAGTTTTCTGATTTCGCTTGCCGAGTTGCACCGTTCAAAACCGAACTTGCAGGGTGACCTCTCAGTCCGAGTGGGGCTGACAACCTGCCTGGCAGGTCTTTTTCAGCGGAGACCTGCGACTTCGTAGACTCTTGCTTGCTGGACTCCAAAGCCAGAGCTATGTGGCTGCTGTACTAGTTCATAAGAAGGAAGACTGGAGAAAAATGGAATTCCAACAATGATGATTCTGCGTGAAGTGCTTACATTCCCTATAGGTCCTGTAGACTATACAGACGGGAACTTGTCCTTTGGCTACACAAAGGAAAGGTGACCAGTTCGCTTGAAGACTGAGGATTGTAAGAATCCACGCTGTCCGCTTCCAGATGCCCGGCTGCCATGATTGCAGACGGTGGGTTGCCATCAGAGACAGGAGTGTGCGAGATAGAGAGCTAAACAGCATCTAAACAGCAGGTTGGTGATGCCAATTCACCTGCTTATGGATCTTATGGATCATTCAGGTCTCGCAAGCTCTTGATGCCCCTGAGCGCTGGAACATGTCATTGATTTCGAGGAAGACAACCGTAATTCGTGGATTACAGTGCTCAGGCATGCACAGGTATACACTTGGCAAACAAACTTCTCGCGTTTCTGCGGTCCGCTGACAACTTTTCGCCAGGAGAGAGGTCTTTGGATCAAAGTCCCTGGACCCTACGGTGACTTGGATCCGAGCCTGGAGGCGTAGAGCCCTGTCGGCTTGTGTGTGTGTGGGAATGATTGGACATGCAGCGATGTGTGTTGAAAGGTGAAGTGCGTGCAGCTTGGGGAACAGCACAATGCGATAGATAAAGTGATAGATATGATAGATAGTTATATATTACGCATATGCTTCGCCCCAGAGCCATTTTAGGTTGATAGCTCTAACGGCTTGGCCACTGTCCTTCATGGTGAGCTCGTTGTTTCTTCTCACGGGCCTTAGCTGCTTGGTGTCAGCGGCATGCCATCCTGGCACCTGGGATGGCGAGGTCATCATGAATGAAAATGGAGCAGAGCTGCCTGACCTATCAGGTGAATGGGCTGAAGGGGAGGGCAGCTTTCAGTTGCGAATCTTCCAGCCAGCAGAGGAGCCCGCAGCCGCTCCTAACAGTAGCTATGCCCGCCTTCTTGCGAATGGCCATGTGCTGGAGGTCTGCAAATTGGAGCCCATTTTCTCCTATGAAACTCGGGAGCGCCTGAGGACCACCATTCGTTGTGCACGATCTGCACATGGCTGGCGTGGCACGCAAGAACGCCAGGGAATTGTCTTGAATGCCAGCCATGTTGCTTGGTCGGATGGGTGCTGGATGAAGAATGGTCCAGGAGAGACCTTGGGCCGGTTCACGACTCCGCGGATTCACAAGGTGCATGTCGTTTTCATGAGCCTTGCCATACCTTTGCTGTAACGATTGAATCAAGGTTAGCTCTATTTTGTGTATGTTGTTTGTCATAGGGATGTTCACGGTTCCCTGTCGATTTTGCCCTGTCTAATGTTTTGTATGCAAGTATATAGTTGGTTTGCCCTTAGTTGTCCTTTGTTCTGGCAAATTTTGAACGCACAGCGGTAGAAGTGCCACAGGGAACCAAAGTGAGGAATCACTATGATGTGGGATACACCGACTTTTTAAATGGTGTAGACAACACATATATGCACAAGTACTTTCCCTTGGCTGCTGCCACTGCAGAGAAGATGCGAGCGTCTGGGCAGAATTTTACCTACACCACGCACCCGTGGCTAATGCAGCGCTTCTTGGCGTGTCCTTGCCCAGCGCAAAGCTGTCTGGCCCGGACCTTGAACAATACCATGGAACCTCCGCTGACGTGCCCATCGACCGTGGAAGTTGAAAACTTCTCAGCGGCCGCGAAAGCAGGAGCTGGGTTGGGCATCCTTTGGTAAGACCTTTTGAAGAACACGTTATGCGAAGGCAGGGGTGGTGCTGGCTAATATACTAAAATATATTGCACAATATGCTGTAACGCACACGGGCCACATAAATTGCAATAATTGGAGGCAGATGGCATAGATTCTGTCGAGGAGGGATCGCTTGGAACGCGGCGCCCTTCAACATTCAGCCTGAGAACATGTCCCCCGAGCTCTTCCGTGCTGGTTTTGACCTCACCCGGCGGATGGACCAGCGCTTCGGGCACCAGACGCGCACCATGAGCATCCGGGACGTGATTTACGTCACTCGAGCCGTCCTTCCGCACCTGGCAGAGTACAACATCACTGGACTGACCTCTGAGATATATTACCCGACGAACACATGGAAGTGGAACATGGGCATTTGGAAGTAGTGCATCGCTAGTAGTAACAAGTGCCTTACTAGTAGCAACAAGAAGCTACTAGGAACAAGTGCATCGCTAGTAGTAACAAGAAGCTACTAGTAACAAGTGCATCGCTAGTAGTA